ATTATGTTCCTTTCCGCAATCTGAAAAGACTGTCTATCCTAGCTGGAAATGAATAAATAAGATCAACAGTTAAGGAACAAGTACAAAAGCCCAGATCGGTCAATGTGGTTGGGTTCAATCGAAGCCGTTGACAGCTGGTCTGATGTGGTGAAAGAGGCTGTGCAGAGGGAGTTAATACGATGCGTGCACGACAGAGACCGCAATTTTTGAGCTATTAGTAATGTAGGTGGCTTTCTAGCTCTATAGAAAGTGGAGCCGGAGACAAATAATACCAATAACAAAGCAAGATAAATGTCCGGATCTTGTTTGGAGACTAGCATCTGCAAGTAGGATCTGCTGCATGTAAAGATTAGCTTTTGTATTTAAGAAAGATTGATTTGATCTTAATTTGTTTAATTGAATGAGCAATTGCTAACAATACGCAGTTTTTATATTCAGATTTAGGAAGGCAACATATTTGGAAAGGCGCGCAAGTCCAGACAAATGTAGCCCCATTGAAAGAAAAACAAAAAACAAATGAGAAGAAAGGGGGAAAAAGAGATGGATACAGGAGTAATGCCGGGATCTTAAGCTGGAAAATAGTTCAGCGTGCCAAAGCCAACAAAAACAAGCACGCACCTACTTCCACGCTTACAGTACACTGTAGGCACACCCAATCAATGCCAATATCCAGCATCTGTGTTTTCAAGCATAGAGTTCAAAACAAAAGAGATTCCATGTCAAATACCCATAGAGGAATTAAATTACTATTTACTGTAGGTAGGACGCACGAAAGAACCCATTATGATTGAGAGTGCACTTAAAAGCTTTTCTTCAATAGAAAATCATCCACAATTCAAACACCTTCAGTAGGAAACAGGAATGTTTAGAAATGAACAAAATGGAGCCTGCCAGAAACATTAATCTACCACCCACTCTTCAGCAAGACTGCCACTGCCACAACCAGTGTGTCTTCTTTCATATTCTTGTCTCCTATTACCATTTTTCAGCCACATAGCTGATATGCCTGGTCTTGCCTGCCTCGATCGTCTCTGCACTGAAGGGAAATCAAACAGCAGCCCAGTGTGTGATTGCACAACAGCTGCTCGTGCACTGCAAAGAAGCAAAGTGCACTTAGGAAGGGCAGGGTATGGTATGGTGCGGGCGCTGGTATGGCAGGCACCACGATGTGGGCAGTTGGCAACAAAGTGACACATGGTGTTTTCTGCGGCACGTTCCAGGCGGGGCTGTTCCTCTCTCGGTCCTTTCGGGAAAAGCGTGGCGTTCCTGACGCTGTTGAGTCTGAGGATGCCTGTTGCTTTCATTTTCCCCACTCTAACTATTGTTTACTGAATGCTTGTGCCTGCATCTGTGTGTGGACACTGCAGTCACACATGAGCAGCACAAGGTGAGATGAGGCAAATGACCCCGACAGAAAACCTTTAATGACATCTTAACGCAGGGACGTACCCTAAAAAAAACTCAGAGATTCACCCCAGGAAAAAAGGAGAATTGTAGCATGTTTCCAGTTATCCATTTCCATTCACCTGACGGACAGAAACACTGGTGGTAAAGGTCAGAAGAGAAGATTTGTGACTTGAAGGAGCCATGTTTGAACTTGAGGGCCAGCAGGAATAATCTGTGAAACACACTCTTCTGCTCAGCTATTGCAAAAAAAAAAAACAAGATGTCTTCCAGATCTACATTCTAATATTTAAAGTTTATCTTTGGGATGTACACACTTCATACACACGTCTGACTGATTTATGATTAGACGAAGAGCTAGCCTGATTCAACAGGTCTACATTGTCTCAAAAAGTGTACGCTTTTTTACATTAAAACCATATGTAAACGGGATTTACTACTTTCTGTGGAAACCCACTTAAAAATGAAATCCTTCACATACATTTCAGCATTTAATGCAGGTTTATAATTAAGTGCATCTACAGTAATGTCTTACTCCTCCTGCCACTCAGATTTGGGTACTGGATACAAAAATAAGGATCCTTAAAGAAGAATGTAAAAAATATTGAAGTATCAGAAACTTTTTCTTCATAACCATCACTTTAAAAGGACATAACTTGGAGCGTCCACATCTCCCCGTTGCCCTTCATCTTTAACAGCTGGCGCTCATTTCTGAGGAAAGACAGACTTTTGCAACCTTGTACCAGATACTGAAGACATATACCACAACTCCATATTTGGGTCTTATGCTTACAGCTACAGTAGTGGCCAGCTGCTAGGTCTGAAGGTTTCCCCTCCGCTGCTCCCCGAAAGCACAAAGTCTGCTTATGTGTGTGTGTGCCGCTAATGTACACACACCTCCCACACTCGCTATACGTCCCGACCAAGGGCACTAGCGCTGCTGCTGTCAGGCTTCCGGCCTCCTGTATACTAAAGTATGAGTTCACTGCGAGTGCGATTAAAGTAAGGCCCAGTCCATCCACAGTTCACACATACACACTCTAAAGGAAATGGCTGCTGCTGACACACAGGAAAGGGCTCACTCACCCCAACAGACGCAATGTGATGAACACAGTTGCCCAACAAAAGAAAGAAGCGCGATGGAGTAATGGGAGGTTGAGGATGAGAGACAGCTGTGGCCACCAAACTATAGTTAGGCACTCCTGAGCTAGAAGCAATGGAATGGTGTAAGTATATGTTCCCCTCGTGCTCAAAGAAAACTTGAAGAAGTACGAAGACACACAGGATCGCTCATGACCATTTCTTAAAAAAAGCAAAGTAATAGGAGGTGCGGTGATTCTGTTTGATGTATGGGAACAATAGTTTACTCACAGCCCCATTCTCACTTGAAACTGCTAATTATGACTTACTCAGAACAAGCAAGCCTTCATGACGCAATGCTTAATTTCTAGGTAATCATTCTACCCTCTTTGAAAGCATTAACAAACGCCACCGTGCTTGTTTGTTGTATGGCAAGTTAAAACAGATTCTTGCATCCGCAGTCCATCGAGGAAAAGACCACCAGGACAGCTGAGGGTTCGGGGGAGGCGGGGTGAAAGGGAATCTTTTATAATGCTATTAAATGAAGCCTCTCAGATGAGTTTCGTCCGGGGCCCTGGAAGAGTTAACAAAGCCCAGCACACAGCAGAACCTCATGTCACCTCCTGCTCACATCACTCAGCTTTTCAAGTGTAACAGCTGCTTCCTCCACACACATAGCAATATCCTCACTCATTCACACTGAGGGCTTAACTGTCCCACAGAACACAGCAAGATTACTGCGTATCCAACAAAGTGAGATGTGGTTGGATTTTCAATAACTCAGTTGTTTTGGCAAAGATTTGATTGAGGGCGCCCACTGATCTGGAAGGATCGGCGGGGTTAAATTGAATTAAGAGTGCAAGCATTAGCAGTGATGTTCCTGGAAAGTTTTCTGGTTAGTTTTAGTTAAAGTGGACCTATCATGCTATATTTGAAAAATATATTGTAGGGCCATACCTATATAAAACATGTCTGTGAAGTTTTTTTTTTTAAATACCAAACAGACATGGCCATTTTAGCCATGCCTCATTTCGCTCTATTTGCTCTTTTCCAGACCTGTTTTTGCAAGGGCTGATTCTGCTTTTGTGGCAGACTACAGCGCCACTTACAGGCCTGGCATATGTACTACAGCGTCTCCAGCGCTTTCGAGCGGTCTCTCATTCCCCTGATAGGTGGAGAGTTGCCCATATAGGCGGAGCACCCCTTTTCTGACGTCAGAAAAATTCAAATAATAATCAGCTCCGTTGCAGCCCCGTTTTTAGAGATTTGGGTATGGAGGAAAAGAGAGAGGGTTGTGTTTTCTGACACTTGGTGAGTTCCCTGACACACCGGGGACACATATTCATGCATAAAAGACGTACAAAGGTGCATTTTGCATGATAGGTCCCCTTTAAGTTAGATACGGTATGTGATTGAAGTCAGGCACATTACTCAACTATAAATAAGATTGTATGAGCTCTTGCTCTTTCCGTCCTCCTCCCTCATCCGACATGTTAACAGCAATAAAAAAACACTAAAAAGTAAAAGACACTCTTTACTACACTGTCAGTTCGTCAAGTGTTTGTTCTGTACGCTTGGCCAAAAAGTACTTTGTAACTGATTCCACAGCTCTGAATTATACATACCCAACTTTTAGTTTCTTGATGCAAGACAATTGACCTTTCGCAAAGCCACGCCCCCCCTTGGTTACTGTTGTTAGTCCGACAAGCTGAGAGCCAGATGCGTTAAACAAAGCTATAATGGAGGGTCTCCGTAACGTCGGAGTCGCCTTAACAGACTCATTTTGGAGCAATAACGCAGCAATATCCTCCAGGTCCCGACAAAAGGGGCTACAATACGCTATGGAGGGTTATATCCACAGTATAAACATTAGAAAAGAGGGAGGCACAACATCAATAGAGGCACTTGCATACAGGTCGCAGTGCAAGAGTGAAAAACCACATGAGCTGTATGTCAAATTCGACGGAATTATTATTATTATTTTGGAATAAAACAATACAATCACAAGAGGCATTACATTTAATGCCTCTTGTGATTGTATTGTTTTATTCCAAAATAATAATAATAATTCCGTCGAATTTGACATACAGCTCATGTGGTTTTTCACTCTTGCACTGCGANTTTTTTTTACTTTGAATTTTTTTTCTCTTTATTAAATAATAAATCTGATTTGTAAAGCATTTTAGTCGGATAGTAGTATTTTAAAGTGTCAACAATATAATAATCAGACCCTGCAATAGAATAAATCTGTGCATTGTCTCCACCACTTCAAAAACAAAACAGTTTTTGCCAAGAAGGTGAGGCTTATTGACAGGGCGAGATATAAATACACTGTTGGTACTTGTCAATGTCTCTAGGTATGTACATGTAGTCCTGTAAATACGATGTCCTTTTGTGTTATCTGTTGTATTATTTAAAAAAAAAAACTTAAATACTTTAGTATAGAAACTATTACAACCAATATCATCCTAGACAGGGACCAAGCTTTTAGAGGTTTATACAAATGAAATAGTTTATCAATCACACCTCTCAGCTGTGGCTCTGATCCTGTTAATTTGACTGCTGTGGAGACATTCACTCTTCTCATGGAAGTGAGCCGTTATACATTTCTCCTCAAACTCATGGAGTTTCTTACGATCCTCGTCGCCCAGGGAGAGCTCTGGTAAAGACAGGAGGAGGGATTACAATCTCACACTGAACTGAACCGACTGTAACTCTTTATTTTCACACACATACACACTCCAGTACTCACTCAGTCCAGAGCCACTTTCCTCTCGTTCAGGGTCTCCTCTCAATTTCCTGTAGACGGCTCTCAAACCTGAGATCATGTGACTGAGGAGGATAAGAGGTGGAGGCAGCCATGGCCTGTCCTGATAGGTCATTATGTAGCGATAACGGTTGTACTTCCACAGCTTATTGGACGTTGATGCCATCTCAAAGTAGATGTTGCTGTTATTGAGCAGACAACATTAATTTAAACAAAAGTCCTCTTTATCGGGAGTCTTGCACTGTATTTTTTTAAAATAATTATAACTTACTTAAAAAATGCAACGAGAATGTTGACCATGATGATGTACTGGAAGAACATATAGACCGCCTGAAGGAACGGCGTGAGAAAGGAAGCAGGAGGACATGGAAGACCGTCATCACAAGCTGTTAACACAAAAATTCAAACACACACTTTACCCCATTAACAATCAATACCAAGAGGAACAGTGGGAATACATTGTAAAATGTCAAGGGTCTTTTACATCGTCTAATTAAGAGATAGTGAGAAATTATTAATGAATGTCACAGATACTTGCCTGAATGACATTTCTTAAAAAGGAACTAGGAATTCCCCCAAAAAAGTCTACTCATATATATAATGATCCCTGGCTTTCAAACATCAACCTGTATTTTGCTGTGTGTGTGATGTTTCCGTTTTAAAACCCTGGGAATATGGGTTTGGCTTCCACCCGCTGGCGAGCACCAACCAGCGCCAACTTTAAGTGACCAATTATATTCAATTTGCCTTAAATATATCAATCAAATGTGTTTCTGCAAGCTGGGAAATGGTATAATAGGTAAGACGGACACTAAGTAGAAATGTGCTACTTAAATAGAAAACAAATTCATTTGATTTACTTTGATTTAACACAGTCACTTTATCTGTCTCTTCATGTTGCAAAGGACAAGTGGCAAGTTAACACTGCAGTAATCTGACATCAAGCGACTCCCCCAAGAAACTCTAATTCTACTGCTTTAAATCAACACCAGTGGATAAGCATCTATTGTTTTTCATTGATGACCTACGATCTATCTCCGATGCGTAGACCTCTCCGTAGATCATAAAGTAGGGCTGGAAGACGACGTCTCGAGCGAGGGTCCAGGACAGCTCTTCATTTGGCGACAGGATGGCCTTTCTGGACACCCCGAAGCTCAGCAGCACTATCGCCATCATCACCACTATGAAGAACATGTTTCTGGTCTGAGCAGACAGAGAGAAAGAGGGGGGGGGGGAGGGGGGGTGACTAAACACACAAACACACAACACACTTACGTCCTCTTCAACAAGCAGTGTACTGTCTCTGCCTACCATCTTAGTGATCATGGTGAGGTAAGGCCCAGCATGCTGGTTGACAGCCAACAGGTCCGTCACCCTGATGAACCAGAAGATGATGTCCAGACAGTAACTGATGCGTCCTGCCGTCCGGTACGGATTAGCATGCCAACGCAGCGCCAATCCAGCCATGAAGAGGAGGATGGCAATAAAATCTGATATGTTCCAGTACTCAGAGAACCAGACCTTCAGCTTCTGGCTCAGCTTCCTCGGCTCCGACATTAGGACCTAAGCAAGGAGTTTATATTTGAATATTCTTTTGTTATTAAGTATTATCAGTCACTCAATCAAATTATATTTATATAGCCCGTTGTCAGAAATAACAAGGGGGGGCTTTACAGTTTGTACAGAATACTACACCCTCACATCGGACAAGGAAAACTCCCAAAGAAACCCCATCATGACTAATGGTGAAAAAACCGTACAAAACTCGGGGAGAGCAACAGAGGAGGGATCCCTCTCCTAGGACAGACAGCCCTGCAGTAGGTGTCATGTGTTTATTAGTTTGTGTCAATCTTTTTCAGAAAAATAGCTGGGGAGCATTTCATCCCAATGCATGAGTTTTGTGTCTAAAACAACAATTTCTTGAGAATGTGTCACTGTTATAAGTGCCTTTGAATGTTTTTTCTTAGAATTTTTTCGGCAAGTCTCTGTTTTTGTTTGACATTGTTTTTGCACCATGATAACTGTTGAGCCAAGAAAACCAGCAAGTTTCTGAAAAGTGTAGTGATTTTTAACAAGAAGCATTTGGAAAAAACGCTAGGTGGCCAATACGCTCTCTTCTCATTAGGAACAATTGAAAAAGAGGCTGGTGCTCAGAAAGAAAACACGCTATAATTGAGACTTTTAATTTTAATTGTATTCCTCTATCAAACAAAGCATTGTATAAGGGATAACTTGAATACTATTTTGTCTGCAATATGAATATTTTATCGTAATTCCCTGTGTAGGAAATGCATTACAAATGCATACATCATGCCCCCAAATAGTTACATTATTACAAAGTTAAGATGAGAAAATGAGAAGAGAACATGTCTCTCTTCGGACTGCCTCACCTCTCTGGTTTTCTCCACTGCAGTGGACAAGATGTACGCTATGACCAGCCACTCCTGAACACTGGGCTGATCCCCCATCTTCACCAGGACCACGTAGGAAAATAACATCAGGAAGGTCAAGTAGGACATCTAAAGAAAGATCAGAGACAGGAAGGGAAAAATAAATCAATATGGGCAGATTAGAAAATAAACACTAGATACCACACATGCTGCATCAAAAACAAACATGCATACCACCTACTGTGTGAAACCAGAACTTGACAACAGGAGCCGTGTAGAACTCATAGACTCTTTTGATCCAGGACAGACAGTGCACAGTGATAGAGGAGAACGTTTCTGACACAGGACCCAAACAGTTTTTATGGAACGGCAGGCCCCGCTCTGCATCCTGAGCGTCCTGTGAGAGGGGAGGAGTAAAGAAAGTACAATACTAAGGCTATTAGGATTATGGTGCAAGTTAAAACAAAAACAGTGCTGGATAAGTGCACTTCTGGAGCTTTACCGTGACATCAGCTCCCTCATGGGCTGGTGCTGACTTCACAGACTCAAGCCCGAACGGCATTGCCTCCTGGGACTGTGGTACGTGGCACATTTCAGCTTTGCTTTTGAACTCCAGTAGCAAGATGGCAGGCGGCAGAAGAAGACTCAGAATTATCTGAAGAAATAGATAACAAAATGCACTTTTATACGTCTTTTATACATGAATATGTGTCCCCGGTGTGTCAGGGAACTCACCAAGTGTCAGAAAACACAACCCTCTCTCTTTTCCTCCATACCCAAATCTCGAAAAACGGGGCTGCAACGGAGCTGATTATTATTTGAATTGTTATGACGTCAGAAAAGGGGTGTTCCGCCTATATGGGCAACTCTCCACCTATCAGGGGAATGAGAGACCGCTTGAAAGCGCTGGAGACGCTGTAGTACATATGCCAGGCCTGTAAGTGGCGCTGTAGTCTGCACCAAGAGAATCAGCCCTTGCAAAAACAGGGCCGGAAAGAGAGCAAATAGAGCGAAATGAGGATGGCTAATAATTGCATGATACTGTTTGGTATTTTGAAAAAAAAAACTTCACAGACATGGTTTATATAGGGTATGGCCATACATATACAGTATATTTCAAATAATTAATATGATTAGGTCCACTTATAAGTCGAAGTTTTATACCAGTTCTGCCTATCTGTCAGGCAAATTACATAAAATGACTGGCAAGATGTTAATGGAACTAGGCAAAGGGTGACGCATTGGACTGAGTAAGAAACCCTTGGACATTTAGGAAAGGATCTGAATCACAGGGCTTTAACAAAACTGAGTTTCACTTCAGATAACTTTGAAGAGAAAGGGCAATTGTGCTGCATTTCATTATTGGGGGAAGTAGTTCCCTTAAAGGAAAAATGATCTAATGACCCGCTCAATTGATACATCGATTTTCTTTCCAAATGTCCAAGGTCATAAATAACACAGAACAACCCACTTCCAAACTCAGGGAAACAGGCCATCCCAAGAAGCACCTTGAATGCAGCATTAACTTGTTGGAGACTGCGCTCTTCAAAAAACCATTCTATTATTAAGTATAATTTGTCTTTTTTACTGTCTGTGATAGAATACATCATAGACAAGACAAGGATGAATCTGTCAACTCATGTACCTTTCCACAGGAGTTTTTCCTCATGTTGAAGCGGACCGGTCCAAGAAGTACCTGGAGCAGCGTTTGAGTAGAGGAATAGTAGAGAACGAATGGTCTGTGAACATAGGAAGACAGCCAATCTCAGACAAGGATAAATGGCCCCATGAACCTCCAATATCTCTATCAACAGCTTCATGCCATCTGCTCGTTACTGACGAAACGCCAGTCTAACATACAACAAGAGACACGCTGACCAAACTCGCTAAGACACAGAGACAAGAGGAGGAGAGAGAAAAAATAAACACATATATACAAACAATTGCATATGTGCATAAATTAAAAAACTATAATTATATACATAGAAGATTAACCCGCCATACTAAACTGGTAATGAACACAAACTTGAAATGCACAGAATCACACTACACACATCAAATACTGAGAAAAGGTGGAAATTATTGATTGATTTTTTTTGTATCATGTTACGACCATTAATTTGGTTGCAACTGTCCCCATAATATAGTCACATGACAACGACGAAACAAACACACTGAATACACAGATAATAATTCTTAAATCGCTCTGAGATGTTGTCGTCGCATGACTTCCCTGCTCGCCTCAAAGCCCATGGAGCGGTAAAGCTTACAGGCCACTGTAGCCGGGCCAGCGCTTCCTCGCCGTGCTGCCACAGGAACAGCGCCATCTGCTGCGCATGAATATAGAACCACCATACGAACACGTCCGTTGAATTGAAAGGCTATCAGCAGTGAAAGAAAATAACAAGGGCCCAGGATCAAGAGATACCTACATCAGACTAGGATATCCACAAAACTTGAAAATCCTGCTCCTACATGGAAAAGTGTGAGGTATCCACAAAATCAATACATAGGAATGTGAAAAAGAGGAGAAATTTAGGGAAAAATATATCAAGAGTAAAAGAGAGAGTAAAGACAAGAAGGCAAAATGTATGAAATAACATAGGCCGCATTAGTAACAAACAGGTGCTTATTAGAAACAATATGATTGCCTTAACAAACAATAAAAATTATACGGTCCAGAGGAATTAATCCAACAATTACAGCCTTGTAGCCTATATGCATGCATAACATCATGTGTCAATACATATTTTTTATATAAATGTGACATTTGTGTCTAATTAGCATGTTAGTGATTGTTTGGCCATGTTTTTGAGGTCCCAGTGGACATTGACCTTTGCACAAATACAATTCATTCCATCATATGATATTTACCACCAACCAATTTAAAATTGAAGACTGAGCTGTTCTGAAAAAGTGCAGGTCCTGGACGGTCCTGCCCTTGGTAGAGAATCATAGATAGTAAATCCGTCTCTAGATACTGAACGGAACACAGGAAAATAGCCATATCTACACCTCCTATACACAACACAAGAAACAACAATGAGGAGAATTTTGTACAAAGGTCAATCGCAATGAATAATCCGAAGACAAGAACCAATAAAAGTCAAAGCATTTTTGAAAAAAAACATACACTATAATAAGAAAGGCTCACTTATCTGCAGGCGGCTGTAGGCGCTCTGAAGTGTTGGCGTGTGTAGTTCTAAACAATAGACAAAAATATATATTAACCTATTAGGACTCACACACAAGAGACACAATGTCAATTGAGAGAGAGAACAAGTAAACTATGGGAAGAGAATTCTACTCACAACAAATGCACAACACAACACACACACACACACACACAACACAACCACAGAGATGAGGGTTAAAAGGCATATGTAGATATTGGTGCCATGGTAAACATATATAGAGAAAAAATATAACATAATGCAGCTGAATATTTGGTGAAATGGCTGAGAATGTCTGAGTAAACAAGTGCTTTCTTTATTTAATATGTAATAATAGAATAATTAAAAGTATCAATAACACCATATTCATAGACACATATCACAGGATGAAATAGACAAGGAGAGTCTGCCCTGTGGAACATAAGCGAAACTTAATTATATCAGGAAAGAAACAAACAAAACGAAAAATTATAACAACCAGAGATCTAACTGGTACTTGTTAACACCGTGCATTGCATAACAGAAGCATCCTGGGATCCTTAAGCTTGTTTCTTAAGGGGGACTTTTATCCCAGAGTTATGAATAAATGAAACAGGCCTTTAATACACAAAAGAGAAAGGCATGCGGAGAAAGCCAAGACTGAGTGTAATGAGTGACAAAAAGCCTTGTGATCTCAATGCATCCGCAGAACAACAACTGGGAAAGTAACCCGAGTGCAGTTGACCAGTGGTACGCAGAGAATACTTTCTCAACACTTACAACAGTAATTATTTTGATTGCATCACAGCGACAGTTATGTATTTTTGCATTAAAAGAGTCCAAATAAAATAATGCTTTCTTAGTTTGTGAAGCAAAGTTGCGAGCTAAGGGAAACATCCAGTAAATAAAATGACAAGACAAACAAAAGTACCATGGGGATGAAAGTGTATTCTAAACAAATACTGTCATTCTTCATTGGACCTTATTCAGTAATGCTTGTTGAACTTTACAGTTTCCACCACTTTGAGGATACTGTAACCTATATACATAATAAGTGACCAATAAAATGAGAAGCTATCGAGTAGCAGTAACATTGATATCAGCTAAACCAAATTCCAGTATATTGAGCAAGTAGGCCCTTTACATCTAGTCATTTTCTTTGGTGTAAATATAAGATATTACATATAACATGTTAGAGCTCCTCGAGGCGATCCCACCGGTAAGGAAGCGGCTCAATAAGTCATAGGCCGTTGTCGTCAGCAGTGACAAAACTGACAGCCCGGTCCATCACCCAGACGCATGCCAGCATGGCCCTGCTCAAAGAACGCACCTAAATCCAGCATCAGTTATTAGATTATAAAATAGAAGATGCAATATAATCAATTCTACAAAGGGCCCAACAGATACATTTAGTGATCTCGAATGACAGTCTTAACCAGGCCCATGCTGTCCGTACCCGAGATTCCTTCTGTGGCGACGTCAGCCCGGTCCCAGGCCCGCAGAGCCACCTCGCCGCGCCCCACCTGCTCTGCAGGGCTTGCCCTGGTGGGCCTGTCCATGCACGCCGAACCAAATAAGAATACAACAGGAACGCTTATGCTGTTAAATATTGTGCATATCACCTGATTGCAGCTTATACTGCATGTTACTAGTAAGTACATGTTAATTAAGCGTAATGGAACAGACCATCGTATTTCCTTAGTTTCTATATACTGTTTGGTAAAGGGGGCAAGAAACAAAAGATTGTATCCTCTCCCTGCTCCTTTTTCGGTCTACGGGATGTGCGAAACTGGGAGATACAGCTTTTGAATGGAATTGCGTATAGTCTCTCGCTTTTTTTCCTTGAGCTTGTGGGCATTTTTATGAGGGCCAATACATTTTCACGAAACACATCAAATGAACATAGACAATATCGGGCTGCAGCACTACTAACGAACTTTTCTCAACGCTGACGTTTTATTTGAGAACAAATATCCCAAGTATAACAAATGATTCAGTAGTTCGATTCAAGTGCATCCATAGCAGTCTAATGGGCCCCGATCGCCTGCAAATTAACGACCTTGTACAAGTAAACCTATAAAGAATGCTTTGATTGTTACACTTTGGTTTTCCAGCTATAGATGTCAAATGTATTCGTGGTGAAAATGTCTGATTGTCACTAATAAAAAGGAGAAATATAAGTATCCACTTGAGACGGTTGTCGTCAAAAATGGCTGGCATGCGGCCCCTAGAGCATGGTCGTCTGACTCTGATCAAGATGGTTGATCTGTTTTTAAAAAGCAACAACCCATATCTGAGTATCCATGGGCCGCAGGTAAGTGCATGTATGAATCACATATTCTGACTTTTTGTAATTTACACTTAGCAGAACTGTCTGTGATCCATACACTGCAGGAGGAGAAGTGTAGATGCTGAAGGCTTCTCGCCCATCTCGA